ATGCGTAGTATAAAATCTGTCGTACTTCTCTCCAAAAATACAAGATCCGGATCCCCGCTCGAGTTCAGAGCTCATAAGTCGAGTTCGCCCCGCGTCTAAGCCTTCAACTGCGTCACTTCGTCCCTCGCTGCGTAACCTCGAAACCTCGTCCACTGCGTTTACTCGTCGAATACCGTCTCGACGAACCCTTCGACTTCGACTATTGTCGAAGAAACTGCGAACCGCGCCCTAGCTAAGTCCACCCTATCGAATCGTGTCCCTTCCTTCTACAATACATCGAAGAGCTCTGCCGAGCTTCGATCGTCTCCGCTAACCACCCACAGCCTCCAAGTAGCTTCGACGACGTGTCGAAGCCACCTCGTACCTTCCCCATTGTTCGTAGCCTTTTCCAAGGGCGTTTCTCATGTTCACTCGAACCGCGGGACACCTTGCTGCTAACTCCCCTCTCACTAAGACTATAATCCGTCTCTCTAGTCCCTTTAGGTCGCACCCAGGTTAGGGGTTAGGGTTTCGTAGGTCATATCATTTCTGGAGCCCACCGCGAGGGGATCTCAGGCAAGAATTCGCTGCTTTCGGGTTTCCGAAAACGTCTCCAGTAGTCACCCGCTCGCAAGCGCGTGAGGCGGCTAGTCGCAGCGCCGGCGAAAACCTCGACAGCTCCTCTCGAACACACTCGACTCCCTCTCCAACAATTCCCGGTAACTTCGACCGCGACGAAGAAGACGAGATAGACCAAGAACTCCAGGACGACTTCGACGAAGAACCGATCCCTTCGACCGCCGAAGAACGCACTTCGTCCCCCGAGCTTCTAGGCCTCACTACTTCCGACTACGACACTTCGACTCCTGATCTTTTCGAACGATCCGGTTCTTCGCCCGAACCCGAGGATCCCATCCCATCTACTTCGAATCTCGAACTCCTGACTCCGTCTTCTTTTCGTGCCCACGCTCAGCCGTCCATCGCATCCTCTTCGCGACTTTCAGTCATACCTACGTCCGACCTGGCACCTCTGCCAGCATTGGTACCTTCGAACGCAGCTTTGAACTCCAACCTCGCACCGCCCGCACCTACAATTCCTTCGACTACTACCACGTCATCTTCGAGCCCAGCTCCTATTAACACTACGAACATGAGTCAGAACACGAACACACCGTTGATGCCCCCGCGCGGTCATTCGACGGCACCAAGCTTCGACCCGTCGGAAGTCCGTTCGCTTCGGCGTTACTTCCAGGACCTCGAGGCGTTGTTCACCCGGTGTCAGATTACCGACGAAGCAGCCAAGAAACAGTGGGCCGTTCGGTACCCTTCGATCGACGTCGCCGACTTATGGGAAACCATCGAGTCCTTCATCGACATAGCCAAGAGCTACAACGACTGGAAAGCCGACGTACGAGCACTTTATCCTGGCGCCGACAATACAAGAAAGTGGTCGCTGGCAGACATGGATCAGCTCATCGGAGAACACGCTCGTATCGGGATTCACAATGCGGCAGACCTAGGCTGCTATTACCGCGACTTCATGGCCATTACGAAACATCTCATCGCACAGCACCGGCTCTCCACTATCGAACAAAGTCGCGCATTTCTTCGAGGATTCCAGCCAGCGTTACTCACACGGCTCGAGACCCGACTGCATCTCAAGCATCCCGATCACTACGCTGACGACCCATACACCATGGCAGAGATTCACGCGGCGGCTACTTTCATTCTACACGGTACATCGAGCACACCTACGACAGCGGCTAACCAAACTATTGCTTCGACATCGAACACTTCGACAACGGTGCCCCCCGGGATGATCAAAACCGAAGACATCTCGATGATCATCGAAAGCCTGTTGAGGACGATCGCGACACTTATTCAGCCGACGACGCACGCTACGCACAACCACGCCCCCGCACCGAGACAACAGGCTGCCGTCCACCTCCACGAGAACACCGGAGCTGAACAGACGTGCCACTACTGCGGCAATCGCGGCTGCAGGGTAGGCACCTGTGAGTTTGCGGAGATCGACATTCGGGACGGCAAGTGCAAACGGAACACCGAAGGCAAGATCGTTCTTCCAAATGGAAGTTTCTGCCCCCGCACTATCCCTGGTCTCACAATACGAGATCGAATCTACGAGTGGCATAGAAGAAATCCCGCAGTACCAGCTGCTCCGACAATGCTCTTCGAGATCGACGATCGCTCGACTGTGCAAACGTTCACGCTCAACACCAGTGGCAGGATCGAGGCGCTCGAACGAGAACTCCTTCAGCTTCGGAAGCGAAGGGAGGTCTTCGACGGCGTCGAGATTCTACAGCGGAAGAAGCCTACGACAGCCGTCCCAAAGAGCGCGGAAGCCTCGGGATCTGGTACATCGAAAGGAGTAGCGGCACCCTCGAGCACTTCGACAAGCACGGCCCCACCTCCGACGATACCAGCAGCAGCACCCGCGCCGTCTTCTTCCCCGCCTACGCAAGCCACGTCTCGACCTACTACATCCGCTCCCCCAGCACCACCAGTACACCCCTTCGCAAACACTCGCGACGCAACCTACGCCCCGCCGAACATTCGAAACTTCGCAACTCCGCCGAAGCCCTCGAACGACAAGGGCAAGGAACCAGCGTACAAGACCATCGTCCCTGTTATCCAGCCGAAGCTCGCCGAGGAAATCTTCCAGCGTTCGATGAAGTCGCAGTTCGTCACGCTGACCCCAGAAGAGTTGCTGTCGATTGCGCCCAACATTCGAACCAAGTACCGCGACGCCGTCACCCCTAAGCGAGTCTCGACGGAACCTGTCGCGTCGGCCCACATCGTAGAAATCGGCGCTGACGAGGTCATGACCGTCAATCAGCTCTCGTGTTCGGGTGCAACGTTGGAACCCGGTGCTACAATCGTCCCCGACCCCTATGAAACATATCTGAAGCACATTCCTCACGGCGAGTACCCCGCAGAGTTCACCGTCGCCCGTGATTCGAACGCGATTCGTTCGATCATCGCGTTGATCGACAACAAAGAGCAGATCAAATGCATCGTCGACCCAGGCTCGCAGATCATCGCCATGTCGGAAGAGGTCTGTCTGGGCCTCAACCTCCTCTTCGATCCTACTATCCAGCTGAACATGCAATCGGCGAACGGCGAGGTGGACCGATCGCTGGGACTCATTCGAAATGTTCCCTTCCGCATCGGTGAGATTGTATTGTATCTTCAGGCTCACGTCATTCGAAACACAGCGTACGACATCCTCCTCGGCCGACCCTTCGACGTGCTCACGCAGAGCGTCGTCAAGAACTTCGCCGACGAGAACCAGACCATTACGATCCTCTGCCTGAACACCGGCGAAACCGTCACGATTCCGACGTACGCGTGAGGAAGATCGCGGAGCCGGCAGCATCCTGTCGGGTGTCG